CAAAACACTAAGGGCGTGCAGCAGAGCAACAGGGGAGCAGAGTAGGGAGCTCCCCAGGGAGTGCAAAGGATCGACTCTGGGGCCAGAGCGTGGCACCCCATCGGACTCAACTGGAGGACACGCCTAGATGTCAAAAAACAGACCTTGATTTATTTACAGGTTTGTTTGTTTTTTAAATTAATTTACTTTTTTCTTGGTCATTGGTTTTCTTTGTTGTTGTCATCGTTGTGTTCTCTTCTGTCGCTTTGTCTTGCTGTGCCTTGTTTTTTGGTGCATATTATTATCTCTGCAGATCTATCTAGATAAGACAGGCTAGATGAACAATCTCTGGAGGAGAAAACAACAGGACCAATGGTTCTGGGGGGACATGGGAGAGGGGAAGGTGGGGGAAAGGAGGTGGTGTTGACCAACCAAGGACAAGGGAGCAACAAGTGATCCAAAATTAATGTCAAGGAGGGTGTGAGAGGCCTTTAAATGTAATTCTTTCTCTCTTAATTAAAGGATGTGATTCCATAAGTCAGCAACATTATAGCAAAAGCCTAATACTTACAAACTGGATCTTTAAAATGCTCTTTTACAAAAAGCCTAGAAACATCGAAGAAGTCATAATTCAATGCCTCTCCATCATGCAGAAAGTTCTTATTCCTGACTTCTTAAAATTCATTTGTCCCACTTACAGAATTGTCTGTCAGTTCTAAAACAGCTATAAACAGTTGGTGTGAAACATTATTATTTGTGATAAATTTATCCAGGACAGAATTCATAATCAAATATCCAACAATACAATTTAGTGGCTGCTGAAAACAACTGAGGTATACTCTCTGTTTCTTTAAAAATGCGTTGTTTTTCATTTGTTAATGTTGTCAAAATACGCAGTGATGACTATGCCCCTTGGCATCAGGATTTTCCTCCGTCACCTATAATTTCTTTACCGCACTTTCCCAGAAGTAAAGGACCGGCATCAGGGTATATGAAGATGTGGGGCGGGGTCTTAATCATCACGGCATAATTTTTATGACATGTGTCAGCACTTCCCCTTTCCTTGAATAAAGTACAGGCAGTCCCAGGTAATGAACACCCAACTTAAGCACATGAATGCAAACTACAGCTATGAACTAACCCCTATAAAGTCTATTATATTAAAAATTCAAGGTAAATATATTCCAGGTACAAACAAATGCATGTTGGAAGGACAGCCAGAATCCTCCATAGAAGCAAGGATGGGGGGACTTCACTGCACAGTACACTAAATATTGTGTACTAATACAAACGTTTCCAGTCACTGAAATTAGATACAAATTATATTTACCTGTTGCAATTCATGTGCAAATTCAACTTAAAGACAAACTGAGAAATACAACTCATTCTTAATTCAGGGTTTCCTTGTACGTATTATAATTTCAAAATAGGGTGATAATTTGATACATGATATAAAGGTGGTAATATCATACACAATTCAATAACTTAATATATAGTTACATGTATTTACCTGTGGATATCAATATATCTAGCTATCTAATTGTACCTTATTCTAATTTCTGTGTTAGTGAAGCTGCATGCAGTGAGGCGATCATAAAGGTCACAGAAGCAGTCCATTATTTTTTATTTACATTTTTCACAAACTTTTAGAATTCCCCTCATATTTTTCCATGTGTTTTCTAATCATGTATAGATCATATGTGGCAAATTTTATGTCTTTTGCTTATTTTTCTATTGGAATCTAAATTTTATCTTATTGGTGTATATGAGCCCTTTCTATATTTAAAGAATATAATTTTTAAGCAGTTTTATTGACCTATAATTCATATATCATAAATTTCAATAGTTCAATCACATTCAAAGAGTTGTGAAGTCATCATCAGAATCAATTTTCAGGACTGCCTTCCTCTCACTGTTGTTCGCTCTCCATCTCTCACCAGCGTGCCTTGCCAAGCTCCTAGGAGACTGTCTGTATAGATTTACCTACCCTGGATTTCATACACAGAAAACAAACAAAATGCAAACAAATACAAACAAACAATGATGAATACTGAATAATGATGGCATAAAACAGAAAACCGTCAATGGAAAAGAAAGCAGAAGATAATAAAAACTGGAACAAGTCTGCACGGTACCAAAAAGGAGATCAAATGGCTCGGTGTTCCATTTAAACCTAACCACAACCACAGGGATCTGCCCTATAATGCACTGTCTGATACGCAGGCCATTTCCATCACGGGTTCACAGTCAGAGGGGTTTCACCGGAAGCTTAACGCCCTTGGAGAATTCTGCAAATGGAGTTTGGCTTTCACTGTCAACCCCAGCTTTCTGCAATCCGGGTGTGTTTTTCCTGTGTGAACTTAACTTAAGACAGCTGTTTAAGACAAGCCTTAAAAAAGAACCCGGACTCTATTCTTCCTGATACCTGGGCACCATCTGACTTCTTCATTACACTCTGCCCTCTTATCTTCAGTGATCACTTCTTTGGGGGCAAGTATTGAACAGGGCCATGTCATAAGAACTGTTTTTTATTTGGGACACAATAAAGTGAGAGCTAAAAATCCATTCATGTACCTATTGTTTAATATGTCTCTAGAGACATTATTGTTATTTTATTGGAGAACATTATAAACCATCCCCATGGCTTTACTGTTATTACCTTTAATTTAGCCAATGGTATAGAATTTAAAATGCCGTCGAGATAAGGAAAATATACACATATAGGGTATTTTTTTGGATCAAGATACATAGATCGCTGATCTATACAGATTAACACTGAAGTGATTGTACACTGTTTTCTCAAACAATGAGGGTTGGAGCTAGGGAAAAACTTTCAATAATGTTCATTCACAAAGGTAAAGCTATGCCTGTTTGACTGAAACACATCATAAAAAGGCAAAGAGTATAAAAACAGGAAATATGAGTTTTTCTTGGGCACTTTCAAAGTACAAATTTGGAACCAAAGTCCAATGACGTCCACACCCACAGCCCTAGAATATCAGTCATCTGCTTCTTTTTACATCTCTGGGTGGTTCATCCTTAAGCGCTACGAAGCAGTGAAGTTCCTTTAAGATGCCACAGGTGTGTTTGAGCTAACGTTCAGTTTGCTTAGGAGGGGCTCCAAATCATATCCTTATCACCGGTGTGGCCTATGAAGGATAGTGTGCACCTCAAAGGAACAGAATCTAAAATCTGAATGCCTATAGGACAGTCTGGGTTACCAAAGGCAGAATAAAAACGAGGTCAAAAGTGCCCATTTAAGAACATGAGCTGGACATATTCTCCTAATGAGGGGTCTCTATACTCAGTGTTAAGCATTTCCCCCCCAATGGCACGCTGCCCATCCTGTTTGCCCACCAATAAACGTCCACTCACCTTCTTCTAGACAGAATGGCTCCCCAGCCCTCACCACCTCTTGACTTGCATTTTGTCTAAAGTTTACTAATCACTCTTGTAGGAATGTCTATTAATTTGGGATGATTGTAGAAAAACAAAGAATATAACACTTGTTGTCCTAATGTTTTCTTCACATGTACTTTCCTTTGTATTGGTTTAAATGTTAATTTATGGTATCTTTTGAGTACTACAAAATCACCAATATTAATATTATATTAGTTTAAGACAATTATTTTATGCATTTGAAATTTACTTTGTTTTTTGGTATAAAGATTTACATTTATTTTCTTTCCACAGAAAGCAACCAGACTGTTCCAGTATTGTTCTATTTCCTATAATTTTGTGATTCTACTTTTAAAATTCTTATTTATACTAGGTTCTATTTTTGGATCAAACATTCTGTTGACTTCATCTGCAATCTGCTCCCAAACTACTGGGATTGAGTTGATTTCAACTCTGAGTTACCCTATAGGACACAGGAGAGCTGCCCCTTTGGGTTTTCAAAACTATAAACCTTTATGGGAGCAGAAAATCTCATCTTTCTCCCTGAGTTAGTTAATTGTGCCAGCCTGGCCGATAATCACATGTGGGGCTAATTGAAAGGCGGAGGGATAAATGGGTGGTGAGCCTCGCCTTTCTAGTTCTTGGGTCTCTTGCTTTGTGATGGTGGCACCAGGATGCAGCTGCCTTAGCAGCTTCCTGCTTCAGCTGGCAAGGTTGACTTCCTACAAGACATCCCCAAGGAGAAGCCACATGGACCTATCCCAATGCAGCCCTGGGTGCTGGAGCAGCCGTGTGGAGACCCCTGCTAGTGCTGAGATGCTTGTTCATTCACTGACTCAGCTTTCCTCCTGCAGTCGGCATCATTGCCTCTGTTTTGTGAGGTGGAGGACTTTGTGGACTGGTTTTGGGTTAATGGGTTAATGTTGGACTTGTGGGCTTGGGCAGCATTGGGTTGGGATGTTTTCGTGATGCACATTTTCTTTACAGAAAACTCTCTGTTATCCATGAGTTGCTGTGGATTTGTTTCTCCAAAGTACCTAAACTAATACACTGTCCAAGGGTACTTAATCCTTGAGTAGCTTAAAAAGTTTGTAGTCACTTTGTGCTTCTCAAAGCCTCAATTTCCACATTTATTGTTTCGTACCATTGCCTGGGCAAGTGCCTGCACATCTTCTTTACATAAAACTCTCTTATCCATGAGTTGCTGTGGATTTGTTTCTCCAAAGTACCCAGACTAATACACTCCCATAGAATCACTAGTGGAGTCGAACTCTAACCTTGACCGTGCTGTCAGCAGCCCAACACGTAACCACCAGGGTGTCATCAATCTATAGCAGAGTTTGCTTATTAGTTTCATATTGATAAAACACGTCTGCTAGTTCAACTTTTCAAAAAGTCTATTTACTTACCATTTGAACTTTCAGATCAAATTTAGAAATATTTTATGAAGTTTATAGATAATATTATGGGGCTTTTTATTAGAATTGTATTATACCTTGGCATTATTTTTGGGTTGAACTAACAGTTAAAATATTAAAGAACTTCTCTTGCTTTTCCCTATGGTTTAATGCTGTCTTAAATCCACTAAAGGTTTTAAAAGAAGAAATTACATGAGAACTTACCCTTATAGAAGAATGCCGAATATCCAATGCATAGTTGTATTCCCAAGTATGTGAGTTTAATTTTAAAAATTTGCTTATATCTTCTGCATTGATCCCAAGATTTTGAAGGCCATTCATCATTTTTCCTTCTAATTTCAGCATATCTAAAATACTTTATATTCAAAGAAAAGAAATATGCCAAAAATTTTAAATTCATGAATATATTAACATAATGGAGTATAAACAGACAATGGAATATTGCTTGGTTGGCTGCCTCAACATGCATAAGCCTTGAAAACATAACACTGACTGAACAAAAAGACAAGTACAGTCTGTTCACTTACACGAAATAAAGAAATATATCGAAACTAAAGATTATCAGAGGAACTCTGGTGTAGTGGGTATGCGTTGGGCTGGGATCCACATGGTAGGCTGTTCAAAACCAGCAGCTGCTCCACGGGAGGAAGACTGGGCTTGCTACGCCCGTAAACAATTACAGTCTTGGAAACCCTCAAGGGGTCGCTGTGAGTCAGCATTGCCTCGATGGCACTGAGCCTGGCTTGGAAAGATTATTAGCAGTGCCAGCGATGGAAGGGAAGGTAAAGGGAGCAGTTTTTGCCTAGGAGATACTGAGTTTACGTTAAAAGTGGTACAGTACTTTGTATTAGGATAACATTAATGACTATACAACAGGAAGAATGCACTCACTGTCACAGAATCTTACATTTAAAAATGGTTGAGTTGGCAAATATTTTATTGTGTATAAATTCACCAATTCACCACAATAATTTTTAAAATACAAAAAACCTCAGATGATGCCACTGAGTTTTAGGCAGGTGACTTGTCCTGTCCGGGGTCACTCAGTCGAAGAGTGACAGGAATGGAATTAGAAGGCTATAGAAATATATCAATATCTAGCTATTTATACATATCCATATCTATAAACTATGGTAAACCTTATTTTAATGTACAAAGGTAAACATTGACTAAACAAAGAATTCTATTATTTTAAAAGTCAAGAATCACAATCATTATCTATATTAGTCTCTCTCTTTTTTTTAATTTGACATTTGAACTTCTAAAAAGAATTGAGAATAGAGAAAATGTGGATTTTAAAATACAGCCAACAGGAAGCACTACAGAGAATGAACTACATTTGAAACATGGTGATCTGTTTTATGTATTAGTCTCAAGCTGCCCCATGTGCACAACTTTAACGCTACATGCTTGTGACCTAGACAAGCCTGACCAGTGCTTAACGAAACAAACTTCACTACACAACAACAGTAAAAATGCCAGGGGAGCATGACAAAAAAGAGCAGTAGCTTGAATAATACAAATCACTAATCTATTAATACTTAGTCTGTGCTACACGAGTATTTCCTCATATGCTTGAAATTCTTACCCTCTTTAAAACTTTTCTCATCGGTAAATTTTGGATTCTCTGGGCAAAGTTCTTTCTACTTAAATTGATGATGGTTCCTGTTCAGAATCCTTTTTGTATGATAATATTCTAATGTTTCCCAAAGGTTTTGAAATTATAATCTGTATTAATTTAGCTTAGTTTTCAAGGAAAACTACCAATCGAAAAGCTAGAGACAGTGTGGTCCATTGGAAAGGGTAGGGGATTTTGAATCCGCTAGTACTAGCTCCGAGGGAAAAGTGAGGCTTTCTGCTCCCATAAAGAATTCCAGTCTCAGGAACCTCCGGAGCCACTCTCCCCTGCCCTCTAGGCCACTCTGAGCCAGCATTGACTAGATGGGAGTACATTTTCCAGGACTACTAACACTTTTGTGCGAGCCCTCGCTTGGTTGGGTCTTGGTTTCCTCATATGTAAAAAATAATAATAATTACATTTTAAGGTTTTAAGATTAAGCAAGTTTGTAGTGGTTTCACATTAAGCTGACATCTGCATGGTCAACCGTTCGAAACCACAAGCAGCTCTGCGAGAGAAAGACTGAGCTTTTCACTCCTGGAAGCAGTTACAGGGTCAGAAACCCACAGAGGGTGCAATGAGGAGGCAGCACTGAGTCCATGGCAGCGAGTTTGGTTTGGTCTTGGGATGCTGGCCACAACGCTGTCTTCGATCAGCCTCGGTTTCTCCTTTGGGCGTCCTACATCTTTGATTTAAAAACTGGTTCTTTCAATATGCTAGGTTTAGTTATCAGGAATCTCTCTCAAATCTGGATTTTAAAGTATGAAAGTAATTTTTGATACTTCGCTTTTAAAGAATTACTACCTTCGAGTTTGTTTTGGACACTGCACTAGCTTTTCCTCCTTTTGAGTCATGACTGAAACGCCAATTTGGTTCCATAATCTGATCTTGCCGAATTGTGAATCGGGTGCACTTTTGCTTCCATTCCATTTCCAGTCAGGCCATACCTATTTTCTCAATTAGGCACTGCTCCCCAAACCTACACTTCCATCTTTGCCACAATCACCCTTTGTCATTACTATCAAAACTATGTCATAAATGTCCTTTATCATCGATATCCCTTGCTTGAAGCAGCCTGAAGTTCACTGTCCTAATGCTCCATCATTAAGGAGTAGCTTGAATTTCTGAAGCTTGCAAATCCAAAGCACTGTCAGTCACCACTGATAAACACTGTTGGTGCTACTTGTCACCCAGTTGGCTTCAACTCACGGCAATCTGAAGAATAAGAGAACAAAACATTGCCCCGTTTTGTTCTATCTTATGACTGTTGCTGTATTTCAGTCTCGTGCCTTTGTGGGCATTCCCATGAAGAGATGACACTCTCCCAACCAGGACGTGCTTTTCTATGGATTAATCTTTCCAGACAGTACATTCAGAGTGAGCCAGAGACTCGCTGTCTTCATGTCTAAGGCACAGTCTGGTTTTATTTATTCTAAGATTGGCTTAATTGATTCTTCCAGTGGCTCATGGTCTATTCAATATTCCTTTCCAATACCACATTCACATGCATTCCTATTTTCTTTTTTTCCTGTCCACCTTGTGCATGCAGATGAGGCGACTGGAAAGCGCCAGATGTGGGCAAGAACCACCTCAGTCATCCAAGTGACCCACGGCATCACTTCTACCGCTCAGGCTATAGTTTGCAACTACTGATCTTTCTTCTTGCTTTCCAACTATTGCAATCCAATCGGTATTAATTCCAATTACTAGTAACTATAAACCATATAGAGGTACAACTACTATTATCCTATCAGTGTGTAAATTTCACTTAGACAAATGATTTTTTTCTCGACTTAAATTGGATCCCCAATACTTAGTAGTTCTTACAACATAATAGCCACTCAAATATCCACCAAGTTAAAAATGCATTTTTAAAAACTCAAAAGAATTCAGAGACAGATAACTTCAGTAAGAAACCCCAAAAAATTGCATAAGTGAAGCTATCAAGACAATTTTATTACTTCTTTTTTATACTGTAGTAACATTACTCAAACAGGAGCAAGTTAGTTTTCCAGGTATGAATTTGCAGTTCATACCAGAGTCAATTTCTGACCTTCGAAGTCTATAGTTGAAGTGATTATTTAGTGGCAAAAATCTTATTAGAAACTATTTCACAAGATATAACTGCATAAGTTAAGGTAAATACAATATAAGACACAGTCATGTGCTTCCTCAAATTTCTTAGATTTACCTGCCTTTTCCTCTTGTCACTTCCAAAGCCTCTTCCTATCTTAGCTTCCTGGGCGGTGAGAGGTAGTCTGGTGAAGAGCCCTAACTGACTGAGTGTTGACCTGAACCACGGAGGCTTTAGTGCAGCGGTTGTCAACTTGTGGGTCACGACACCTTTGGGGGTTAAACAACCATTTCATAGGGGTCGCCAGATTCATGACAGTAGCAAAATTAGTTATGAAGTAGCAATGAAAATAATTTTATGGTTGGGGTCACCACAACATGAGGAATTGTATTAAAGGGTCACGGCAATGGGAAGGTTGAGAACCACATCTTTTAGTGACTCTCACGACTTCTAGAATCTGAAGAAGAAAGGGTGATGGAGCATACATAGTCTAGTACCTATGTGGATAACAAAACTCGGAAATGCAAAAAAAAAACCCCAAACAAACCAAAAACTCGGACATGCAGTGAGAGAAGTGAAAAAACAAGTATTATACCTGCCTTTTCCTTATCCCAAATGAACCATTCTGCAGCATTAATTACACTGGACTTCTCCTTAGACCCAAGATGTAAATTCAATATTATGACTTTTTTGGGGCCTCTTTTTCCTAAATGATTTTCTTCCCTTAATCGACTCCTTCACACTGCTTTTTATGCCACACACACTGATTTTGTTTTGAGAAGGCTCTTGGATTATTTTGTTCTCAAATGCCAGAAGATGCAAATATGCTTACGTATCTTCTCAATCCTCTTGAGGAAATTATTATACCTATCACAGGTGATCCCATCAAGTAGGAACAGAATGGAGCACATTTCCGAGAAAGCACGAAACACTAGGCAGAAGAGCCAGAGCATTTTTAGTTCTTGAGTAACCTACAATCTTGGTTAATCATTCAGGACACTATTCCTGCCAGGAAAATGTCCCTGTACACTATCACAGCAAACTTTCTAAAATTTACATGCCATTTCACAGCCTCGTTTAACTCGTTTTTCATGGTCCCTGAGCACAAATATAACTTTTGTCCTCCAAGTTTATGTAAGCATCTAAGAACCCCTCTACGTTTTTATGTGCAGTACTTGTTCTACATATCACAGGTTATCATTTTTTTTCTAATGCAAGGTTCAAAAGATTTAACTAAGTACAAGAGTGCTTAAGCTGATATGAGGCGAGATTGTAAAAAATAGTAAAATAATAGTTAAGTTTCAAATGAATTCATCTATTTCTCTATTTTTCCTACAAACTTTTATTTCTAAACTGGTAAGACAATGGAACATAAGTATCTAGTTAATTCCAGTTCACAAAAGTATGATAGGGCTTCACACAGTTCATGGGAAAGGTCATTATCTTTTAATGCCATGGATATTTTGAAGTCCTCTTGTATACTCAATTCAATTACAGCTGAATAAGTGAACTAAGTGTTGTATTTATTAGAATCATGTTACGTTGCAAATAGTAAGTCTGAATGTAGTTTCCCTTTCAAAGCAAAAATTTTAAAAATTCACTTCTATTACTTTTGTTTAGCTCATTCTATTAACATATGGGCCAATGTCCACTAATAAGTAAAAGACTTCATAATTCGGGTCCAGAGCACTTTTTCTGAAGCTATTTTTGATTTTAAGGATCTAGAAAATACCCAACGTATGTGCTTTCACATTTTCTTTTTGATAGCACACCTTATATTCTGATAAATGCACTTTATATTCTTGCTAATTTTTTCTTCTGAGAAAAACCTTGTACTGCCTGCAGTTCCTCTCTGGAAAGTGGGGCTCTCTGGTTGCTAAGCCACCTCCCAGTGCTTTTCCCTGCTGTATCACTAAGCTACTCTTTAAAACAAAAAACAGTTTGGAACAATGAGAATATAGGATTCAGAAGCCTCAGTTTGCTCATCTGAAAAAATACCTACATAAGATCTCTTGTAGTCCTGACATTCTAAAATGCTTCTACCTCTCATATGTGAAGCCACACACAAAAAACTTGTTTTTCGCAATCAAACACATGCATTTGCTTTAACTTTAAAGTGATTTTTGTTTTGACAAATATTCAAGAAGTTTACTTCTTACGTAAACAGCAGTTTGTTTGCTATCAATAATCTAATACTTACCTAAAAGGATCGTTTGTATCCTTATCAATACGAAGTCCATTTATATAGAGAGTCGTATCACCTGCTTGAATAGCATATCTATCTCGGAGAACCTTGAAACAGAGAGAACAACAGTTAAGGACCTGATATGAAAATAGCAATTAAGCCAGAAGGTCAGCGAGTTATTTCTACAGTCAGATAATAAGCATTTTAGGTCCTCCCTGCCAAACAGTCTCTGGAACAACTACTAATTCTGTTTTTGTAGCAACAAAGCAGCCATAGACAATACATAGTTTTAAAATGTGCATGCCTTATTTTCCAGTCAAATTTTAATTTACAAGAACAGGGAGCAAGCTGGATTTGACCTATGGGCAACTGATTGCCCAACACTGACATAACGACAGGACTCTGACAGATCAGAGACAGAACCAAATGCTTGAATCTTTTGATTTTGTAATTCAGGATAGTAAAGTTGTGAAGCTCCATGATGACTTATCTACTACATTCTGTGCACACACATGGTCAACCATGCTTAAGCACTCAGCTGATAACTGAAGGGTTGGCAATTTAAACCCATCCAGTGTCTTTGTGAAAGATTTGACAATCTGCTCTAGTAAAACTGACAGACAAAAAAGCACCTCTGGGGCAATTCTACTCTGTCACAGAGGGAAGCTCTCAGTCAGAATCCATCCGCGACATAAGACAATAGAAAAAGGGGCCTTGCTCTTCTAGTATTGGTTGCCCACATGAGTGCTTGCCACTCACCAAAAGGTTGGTGGCTTGAACCCACCCAGTGACTGAAAGAAAGACGTGGTGATCTACGTCCAGAAAGATCCGGTTTTGTGTACTGCCATATTGATTCCTGCTCAAAGCCTCCTAGGTTTCCTAGGCTGTATCATGCTGGGAACAGATTGCCAGGCCTTTTCTCCCATCAATCAGCTACGTAACTTTAAACAATCAATCTTTCGGTGAGCAGTGGGAAGCTTCACCTCTATGCTCCTCTTCCTAAAGACCACAGTGGGGAAGACCCTAGAGCAAGGATCCTCAAACTCTTTAAACAGGGGGCCAGTTCACTGTCCCTCAGACCCGTTGGAGGGCCGGACTATAGTTAAAAAAAAAAACTATGACCAAATTCATATGCACACTGCACGTATCTTATTTTGAAGAAAAAAAAACAAAAGGGAGGAAAACACGGGGGTGGGGTTGGGGGGGGGCGCGGATAAATGTCCTTGGCGGGCTGCAGTTTGAGGACCCCTGCCCTAGAGTAAAGGGTCACTTTTTCACATGGGGTTGCTGTAAATTGAGATGAACTCAACATCACATCATTAACTGTAACAGCATCATGTGCTAGAAATGACTTCAGACACTGGGTCAGCACTACAATTTAAAACAAATAATGGCCTTGTCAGCACAGCATAGTTAATGAGACCACGGTTTGGGAGTCAGACCTGGTTTAAGTCCTAGTCTTGAAGCTTACTAGTTTTATGTCTTACTAGCTATATGAGTCAGTTTCCTCATCAGTAAATTAGGAATAATTCAATCTATCTTGTAGGTTTGTTGTAAAATTTAAATGTAATATATCTATGCAACCAAAGCACTCAAAAATGAAAACTACACTATTATCATAAGAATAGGCAAATCAGTTTAGGGGGAAAAACAATTTTAAAACAGTGCAATTTGAGGGTGAGGAAGAAGATGGAGTCCAGTTAGATTTACCTGCCCGGAGCTCCTGCTGCCAGACCAGAAAATTAGAAGGTACAGTGAAGGAGACTGGGAAGCGCATCCTAAAATTAGAATCAGGGTACTAGGTCTGTCCTGATCCCTGCTTTTTAAATTTTCACTCACAAAGTGAACCGAGAACACACTGAAACGCCCTAGGTTAATTATGCTGGGCTCGTGGGTTCCAGACAGAGCCTCTCCAGCAGTGAGTAGCGATTTCCCCAGGTGACATCCAAAAGGGGTCATAATCCCAGACTTGAGAACCTCTGAAAGGTAGTCACACGACCCCACACCAGAGCTCCCAGCGGTGTTAGCTACTTTGTGCTCATAGCCTAGTGGTCAGGGTCATCACGGGAAGCCACAGTTTTGGAGCACTTGAAAAGACGACAGAAAATTTACCCGAGTCAGATCACAGCATGGCAGAGCATAAGCTGGTAGCAATAGCCCAGAGGGTGGCAATGGGGGCAAATTTAGTTCCAGCTGGCTAAGAAGAAAACAACCTCCCTGATAAGCTAGATCTCCTCCCCTGAGAGTCAGCGTGACAAGCCAGAAATCAGGGCACCTCATAAGCCCAATATAAAAAAGAGAAAAAACATTTTCTCTGTAAAAACTGCAAGTCTCAGGCTCATTGTTTAACTCCAAGACAAACTGGAGTTAAACAAACCCTTTAACATACATTAGCATACCAAGGGAGTCAGTGCTAAGGAATGCCAGAAGGTAGCTACAGAGCCCTGAGGCTTTCAACATAACAAAGAGTCCCAGGAGCAAGCCTCAGTTTCAGGATACCCCACTGAGCACAAACCCAGAGTCCATAGCCTGGGGGCCAATTTAATTTAATTCAATTCTAGCTGGCGGGGGAGGTGGGGGGGAGCAGGAAGAAGAACTCTGAACTATTGGCTATTGGGGCATCAGTGGTCTTGGCACAAGCTAGGGCAACTCCACAAGCCCAACAGGGGCGGGGGTGGGAGGTGGAGGAGCTACTGTCCACCCTCAGTGATCCTACACACAGCTGGGGAGGTCCTTCCTGTTCTCCAGTGACTGGGGATCCCTTGCCTTTCCTGGGACCATACACTTGGCTGAGGAAACTTCCCCCCTGCTGCAGTGCTGCATACAGCACAAGGCAGCCATACCAGTTATCTCCAGTACTCAACACCATTGCTGGAATCGCTGCCTGGCCTCTGCTGTGATCTTGCCTTCGAGGGTAATTCCTCCCAGCAACTGTGGGACCCTACAACAATTGGGCACACCACACCCTGCTACCTTAAGGCAGGGTTGGAAGTCCTCCAGCCCCACAGTCAGGTGATCAGGCCCCAGCTATCTCCTTACTTACTATTTTTTGTCTTCTCTCTTTATTCTCTCGCCCTTCTATCATTCCCACTGCAGTCAGTCTCAGTGGGCCCAGTTTTGTCATTTTGTTTCTTTTTCTTTGTTTTTCCTCTTCTCTCCCTCTCTTTCCTTTCACACGCCACTGGTGGCTTCCGGGCCACTATCCTCTACCTAGGGCAACTCCGCCCAAAGAGCAGGGGGAACTCCAGCCTGCCCTGTGTGGGTGTGCTGCACACCACACAAGGCAGCTGCGACAGCCCTCTACAGCGCTCCAGCAGCTGAGGAAACTTCTGTGTGGTGTCTATGGTGATCTTGCCGACTAGGCAATTCTGCCCAGCACGGGTGGGGCCCTGCACTAAAAGGGCACACTAACCTGACACTCTGGTTTTTTCTTCTCGCTTTGCCACCACAGTCTTAGTGAGCACAGTGGTGTTTTCCCCCCTTCTTCCTCTTTCTTCTCTCTTTTTCCCTTTTCTTGTTTCTCGCCTCTCACTGGATCCCCTGCTGGATCCCCTACCCCAGAGCTCCAGCCTGCCCCACGTGCAGTGCTGCACACGGCATGGCAAGGGGCTCAGCTATCTCTTCATTTTTTTCTCTTTCTTTTCCTTGTTCTTCTTTTTTCCTCATCTATCTCTTCTCTTTCCTGCCAGTCTCAGCAGATTGTTTTTCTTTTTTGTTTTCCTTTTTTTGACTCTGTTTTTGTTTTGTCTTTGCTTTTGTATGTGTGTGTTAAGTTTTTTATTTTTGCTCTTATATTTGTTCTCTCCTTTCTCTCTGTTTCATCTCTTCTCCCTCTCTTTCCGTTCACAATCCACTAGCGGCCTCCAGGCCACTCCCCTCTGCCTAGGGAAACTCTGATGGCCCAGCTCCGGGAGCTCCTGCCACATTTGTTGGCTTTAGGACACAGCTGGGGAAATCATGTCTGCCCTCCACTACACCACAAACAGTTGGGGAATCTACCCTTGAAACGGTTGGGGGAACCAGGCTTCAACTCAATGCGTCAAGACATGAATACAACACACCAGCAAGCACTAGGAAACCAATAGAGAGGTCTGCAGGACCGGCCCCAATCCTACCTATGTGGACACCGATGCCCCCCTCCCCCCTCAAAGAATGCACTTCAGAGGACAACACTGGGGCTACATCTTGGGGAGAGGGGCGCATCTGACTAGAGCACATGGGAGAAACGAAAAGGGATGGAGAGGGAGGGGAGCACATCCTGGCCCACCAAGCCCCAATGACGATGTTCCTGCTCAGAGCTGATAACGCACAGAGAGGACCATAGGGCCAGACCCACCATGGGACACAATGTCCCTCACTATACCATAGCGCTGCGGGGACAATACTGGAGGCACAGTATGGGAAATGTGCACAATCTGATCCCAAAACGCTGGGGTGAAACAGTACTGGCATGAAACAGAGCAGCAAGGGGAGCAAAGTGATGAAATCCCCAGGGAATACCAGAAATAAACTTTGGAGACAGAGTGTGCTACCCCATCAGACTCGACTGGAAAACACTCGTTAAGGCCAACAGACAGACCTTGAACTATCTTTAGACTTTTCCATGGATGTCAGTGGCTTTCTTTTTGTTGTTGTTGCTTTGTTGTGGTGGGGGTGGTTATTGTTTTGTTGGTCTTGACTTCCTTTGTTGTTTTATTTGGCATTTCCTGGTTTTTGCACTTATAAATGTATATCATGTCTATCTAGGTAAGATAGGCAGAATAAATAATTCGGAGATGAAAGAAGGGGACCAAAGATTCCGGGGGGATATGGGAGAATGGGAGGTGGGAGAAAGAAAGGGTGGGTGGGTGGGTGGGGTGATGGTAACCAACTCTGGGACAAGGGAACAGCGAGTGAACTAAAATCAATGGAGAGAAGAGTGTAGGATGCCTAGTGGGGCTTTAATCAAGGGCAATGTAGCAGCGAGGAATGACTAAACCCAAACGAAGGACAAACATGATGGTGGGACAAGAGGAAAGTAAAAGGAAATAAAGGAGAGAACCAAGAGGCAAAGGACATTTGTAGAGGTCTAAATACAGGCATGTACATATGTGTGTGTGTGTATATA